TCCTCCCTGCGCTGTGAATGTTTACATGTTATGTTCAATTAAACCATGGCAACATGTAATGTTTGTGTATTATTATTTTCAGCAGACTGTGTTTTTCTATTGTTGTGACTTAGATGACGTTCAGAGCACATTTTATGACCAATTCATGCAAAACTCTGCGTTATCCCAAGGGGTTCACATACTTTTTCTTGCAACTGTAATTCACATTTACTTTGAAGGCCCCGGAAGTATCCTGCTATGTGACTGAGTTATCTTCCCCTTCCCAAAGAAGCAATCAGCATTTATGAGTCTCTTACAAAGTTGATCTACAATCACAAATGGCTATGAAAAGATTCTTCTCAATAATGATGCACTTACTACAAGGAACATTTATTTAGACTGACTCTCACCAAATATATAGAAATGTGTTTCTTTTTTAGAGAGTGCTTAGTAATTCATTTTTCTATAAGAATGTTTGTAATTCTTCAATGTTTAAGTGGAAAATTGCTTAAACTTCAATTAGGATAGTGATTTGATTATTAACTGGTAATCAAGGTAACTATGTTTAACTCTTAAAATTGGCTCACAGTTCATTTGGCATTAGTGATTTAATTAAGCTAATTTCAAGTTGTTCAGTTGTTAGTATCTTAATCAACACTGCATTAATATATACTAACATTATAATAAGGATACTGAGGCGAACATGAACAGAATGAAAAATTGGGAGAAAATATCAAAGAATCTATTATAGTAACAATTTACTTCATCAGAAATAGAATAAATTACCTTAAAACAAGCTAAAAGTAATCGGAGACAATAAGGCATAACAGTTTTACTGGTGCATGGCCAAAGCTTCAGCTCTGAAACTAGATAAATAATAGTTTTGCAAATATTAAAATCAAATAGAATTAAAAGCAAATATGACAGGCTTAAAAATTTATTCATTTTAATATCTATAAAGTGTGCTTATATTATAGAAATTCAGATTCCAATTGAATGTTAGGAAAAAAGCCCTTCCAACAATAAGGGCAGTTTGATAGTGGAACTGACTACATAGAGTAGTGGTTGGCTTCCTTTTCCTGGTGGTGTTCAAGCAGAAACCAGGTATGACTGCTTTAATTTACACTCCTGCACCAAACAGATTACATTTCTTGGCATAAATAGTTCTTTCTATCTATAGGAATCCATAGTGTTTGGGTAAGTACTCATATATCAACTTTACATCCCAAACAGTAAAATAATTTATTTGCCCAACAGCCTGATAAGGTCCTCAACATTCGGTTGTTTTCTCCTGTATAGGGGGGGGAAGCAATTACTCCTAGACCAGATGCTACCATATATATCTCCTCCCACTGAAAGTCACTAGTAAGTTATTAGAATCCAGGGAAGGAGCTTGATAAGAGTTAATTCCTTCCTTACCATTATTGATGATTCTAATTATCCACTCCTTTGTCTAGTAGTTCTGGGAGTAGAGCACATAAAAATGTCTATCTAAAATTGATAAGCTGCTCTTACCCACAGTTCTTCCTAAAGGACAACATATATTTTTTATGTCATCTTGTCAATAGTCTTTTCAGGATTTTACAATTTTCAATATTATTTCAGTAATCAGTAATTTTAAATACTCCAATTTACTTATTTCTCCATTCTTCATCTACTATTTGGAGATAAAGTAATAATTTACCTTTCCTGAATTTTGACTTTAATATAGGCTGATCTTGTATTTTGGCTCCTTCTTGTATGGGAAGTGTCATGTAACACATTACATCAAGAATTTTTTCACAAGTCAACTACAAAGAAAAGGTGAGATTCATTATATGTGAAATGTCTATAAGTCAAAAATTAGAACAAAGAAAAATAACTAGCAAATGTGTCACCATATTATTCCTAGAAATGAGAGAAAGCACATTCATAAAATAATTTTATGATACCATTTCTATCTATTGAGTGGGGGGAAAGCCAGTAGTAATAATATTAAAGAGTGAACACTGAAGACTATTATAGATTATTCAATCAATATATGGCTTTCAGTTTTCACTTCCAGTTGTGTTCACAAAGGAAAACTCTAGTTGATCTTGGTAAAAAAAAAAACTTGGATCCTTTTAGCAGGGAGCAAATATTGAAATATTTTGGATTTTTTATGTCAAAAGTGCTGCTTAAAGAAACCTCATTTTTGGAAGACAAGAACTGCTGTTTAGCCACCTTTAACTAATTTATTCTTAAATTAAAATGTTATGTTACCGAACTTACGTATTGCAAAAGGAACTGAGGCTGCTTAAGGCTAACTGAATAAATCTATGAATGAAATGGTATTTGAATTAGGCAGCCTCCCTGCTCAGACTCAGCTAATGCACTACAACAGAACTTGAATTACAAATTATAAAGCCTCAATGGATACAATGTGATTCTTCTGCAAATTAAGTTTGCTAAGAAAAACCAACATATGCAATCATATCTGGCTTTTAGTCTTCATTCCAAAGACTTGTCTTTCTCTTTTTTTTTTTTTTTTTTCCAACAAAATTTTTATTGGTTTTATTTTACATGGTGGCAAGGCCATCAATTAATCAAAACAAAATCATATTTATACAATTCAAATTATTTCAATATAATTAACTCAGTTATACATATAA